TGGATGATAATGACACCGGAGATGACTTCCTAGAAGAGCAATTGCTATCTCCTTATAAAGTTTATGACGAGGAATACTGTCGACCACTACCGTGGGTATACATTGATGGTTGTTCATATCACCACGTCGTTGGTGCTGAACGGAAGTTAGTTGCAGGTATCGGAATCGCCTGGACAGGTGATTATCCCAATGTATCTATAGGATACAATATTGGTCCCAAAAGCAGTCAGATAGCCGAACTCTGTGCAGTATATAAGACCATTCAAATGGCAATAGAATATGGTATCAAAAGAATTTGTTATTATAACTGATTCCAACTATGTTCGCAACAGTTTCGTCGAATATCTGCCTAGCTGGAAACGTAACCAAATGCTGAAAAGCAATAACAAACCTGTTAAACATGGGAAATTGTTTTGTAAAATCGATGAGTTGGTTAAGGAAAATGGTTTATCCATATATTGGAAGAAAACCAAAGGCCATTCTAAAATAGAAGGTATTGACAAGGATGGTAATGACTTAGCCGATTCACTGGCAAAACAAGCTGCCATCAATGGTGAAACCCTAAACATTGATGATCTTATGGGTTCAATTCATGTTGAAGCCATAACTAGACGACAGGCTAGAGATAATGCCGACTTAAATGTCGTGCAATGGAGTCAAGAAGCTCCTAGTGAGGACCTGATTACTAGTCAAAAGAATGATCCCGTCATAGGCATATTCTATAGACATATAGAAGACCCTACTGCCAATCCCATCACAGATGAGGATTGCAAATAGAAGATGAATCTTGACCAATATTGTTGAGAATGAACATGAATATAAAGTCCTTTAATTTATGTATCATGATAAGATGGGTTGCATGGTACAGAACTTCAAATAAACCAATGGTAACAACAACTGAATGGTAGTCCCAACTGATATACAGAGGGTTGCTAAACTTCAAAGCTAAAGAGAAAAACCAACGCGCAGTGCATAGATGGCACCTCCACATGCACATGAGGCACAGTCCTTAAACCACTAAGGGTATCTTTCATGCTAGGTGTAGATATTAGTATACGCTGATTCATGCAATATTATGCAGCCCACCACATGTGTGTTGAAGTCATAGAAACCTGTGTGGATTTGAGTTGGTCTATACATATTTATGCTTAATGTGTGATCGCTTGATCTTGAGGAATACCTCTCTTTGGTCCCCTATTGGAACAGGATGGTGTCAGTGGCATACAGACCATAGTTCATCTAGTCATGAAGGGTTAGTAAAACGAAATAAAAATGAAGGAGGTGATGAATGAGTACTGTGTGGTTCATCCGATGCCTTGTATTGTATCTAGCGATGCATGGATGGAAAGTATCATAATGATGTGGCTCCGATATTATCATATCTGTGTATCAAGCACAGTAATACCTAGGCTGTTTCAAAAGGTGGGTTTGGTGCCGCCGTCTTACTGCAGTGCCTCCAGTTCAGTCTTGGTACGGCTGTAGTTGCTCTTAGTGAGGCGTCGGGCCTCCGCTAGTAGGGCGGTCTCTCTGTAGGGCCCGGGAGGGTAGCCGGAGGTATATGCTGGGGCCACCTCCGGGGTCTTTCGTGCGGGTTCTCGTGGCTTGCTCTCCGGCTTGTTCTCAGGCTCCAGGGGCCACACTAGTTTCACCAGTTGCTCCCAAAAGGAGTCAAAGATGCGAAGAGCCGGCCTCTGTGTCTCGTCTGGCCTCGTGAAGGGCTGAGGCATGTTTGCCGTCCGCCATTTTGTCGGCCTTGTCCGCAGCCTCCACACCACGCGGTTGTTTCGTCCGCTCATCTCCTACAAGGGAACTGTGAGGGATTGGACCGGGATGACCCCCGCCGGTCCAGAGAAGGACATACAACAACACTTGGCTGGTACATCGATGCAGCTTGCACTGAGTCGTACGTAGACCATTGGATACCAGATGCACCTCATACAAAGTGTTATCAACATTCAAACCAGAAGAAAAAAAAAAGAGAAAATACATACATTTCCTCTATCACTATCAATTCACATTGGTACCTGATGATCTAACACTAACTATCTATTTTCTATAAACTTCTAAATCTACATTGTCATGAATGTTACTGATAACTATTCTAACCTATTGCACACCATCAGCACCAGTTAAATTGTGCCAATCGGATAAATCCGACTGATGGCACCAAATGTCATTTTAAAATTAAATGAAATTAATGCATGACACTAAAAACTAGCCATTCTATGTTATAGTGGCACAAGACTGCCCTCTTCCAAATAACGAATCGGGAAGAGGACCATATTCAGGGTTCATAAACAGCTTCTTCATATCTGCAAGGTGGATCACATTAAGACATACACTGACTTATAGCACTTTACATTGACTGTGCCATCATTAATATCACATGTGATCTAAGCAGTACCGCCTGTTTTTACAATATGTCTGATAACAGGTGTAATAGGGATGATTTGCCCTATGTATTGCCCACATGTGCGAAATAAAGATTTTAGAAGTGAATAAGAAAGAAAGAGTTTAAGGTGCCTAAAAAGTCCTTATACTTATATAAGGACTCTCTTATTGTAGAAAAGGGGGAAAATGGGGGGGGAACTGGTTTAAATGTATTTTATTTAAAAATTACACTGAAAAGATTTTAATTTTGCCTCCATCTAGCCAGCATTGAGGCAGCGTTTCTAACTGTCTGGCCAACTTTACGGAACTACGCACGCTCTGAGGATATCTTTCTTCGCTGTGAAAAGTTTCACTTTCAATCTGTGTAAGGATACCTCATAAATCGTCAGAATTTTGACAGATAATGCCGTTTAGCCATTGAAACGTAATACCCATTTCTTTGTTTGCATATCTATTTTATACTGGATATTCATTGATTATTGTCACGCATGTTACATATTATTATTATTAATTTGTCATATAAATAAAAATCTATTTTTATACATTGTGATTATTTATATGAAATACTTTTCACTTAACACGATAAACGTTCTTTGGGATCTGAGAATTGAATTAGTGGGCAATTCTCACTGTTACTATTATTATCCCATAAATATCCCCACAAGCCGCAATCCGTTTCCAATAGGTTTGTGCCTCCACGCAATCCCACCACATATGCATATAAGTACCCCTTAGACCACAGCCCCTCCAGCATAGGTCTGTTGGGTTTACACCCATTCGGCACAGTTTCACTGGGGTGGCATACCACCTAAACATTGTCTTGTAAGATTGTTCCTGCAAGGAAACGCACACCGAAGACTTTGCAGCCGCCTCCCATATATCTCGCCATTCTATACCCTCCAACACCTCATTGAGGTCAGTTTGAAAGGTTATTAAGGGATAATATTCAAGAATTCCTTGAGAAGAACATGGTTATCAGCAAAAATCAGCACGGTTTTATGAAGCACAGGTCATGTCAAACTAGCTTGATTGCGTTCTACAAAGAAGTAAGTAGAAGTATAGATCAGGGTGATCTATTTGGATTTTGCCAAGGCATTTGATACAGTTCCACACAATAGATTAGTGTTCAAACTCAAGGAAATCAGTCTAGATGAAAATGCTTGTTCTTGGGTAGAACATTGGCTTAAAAACAAAGTACAAAGAGTTGTCATTAATGGTACGTTTTCAAGCTGGACAGAGGTGGCAAGTGGTGTCCCTCAGGGGTCTGTTCTGGGACCCCTTCTATTTAACATGTTTATAAATGATCTTGAAGACCGCATTGAAAGTCATGTTTCAGTGTTTGCAGATGACACAAACTTTGTAAAACAATACAATGTGAGCAAGATATTACTTTGCTGCAGAGGGATTTAGATAGACTGGGGGACTGGGCACTCAAATGGCAGAGGAAATTTAATGTTGAAAAATGCAAAGTTATGCACTTCGGCGTAAAGAATACACATGCAACGTATACCCTTAATGGAAGCGAATTAGGGATAACAACACACGAAAAGGACTTGGGAATTGTTATAGACAAACTATGCAACAATGTGCAATGTCAATCAGCAGTGGCCAAGGCCAGTAAGGTATTGTCATGCATGAAAAAGGGCATTCATTCTCGGGTCAAGAATATCATTTTGCCTCTTTATAAATCACTAGTAAGACCCCATATTGAATATGCTGTGCAATTTTGGGCACCTGTTCTAAAGAAGGATATTATGGCACTAGAAAAAGTGCAGAGGGGGGCTACAAAATTAATAAAAGGAATGGAACATATCGGCTATGAAGAAAGGTTAACAAATTTAAACCTATTTAAACCATTGTGTGGAAATCTATTCACAAACCGGACTCTACATAGGACACGAGGCCATGCGTTTAGACTGGAAGAAAGAAGATTTCATCTAAGGCAAAGGAAAGGTTTTTTTTTACTGTAAGAACAATCAGGATGTGGAATTCTCTGCCTGAAGAAGTGGTTTTATCAGAGTCCATACAGATGTTCAAGTGGCTACTAGATGCATACTTGCAATAACAGAATATTCAAGGATATAATCTTTCAATGTAGGGTAATAACTGCTTGATCCAAGGATAAATCTGACTGCCATTCTGGGGTCAAGAAGGAATTTTTTTCCTAGCTTGTTGCAAAATTGTGCCTCAAACTGTTTTTTTTTTGCCTTCTTTTGGATCAACAGCAAAAAACAAATGTGAGGTAGGCTGAACTTGATGGATGCAAGTCTCTTTTCAGCTATGTAACTATGTAACTATGTAACTATATCCAATAAATTCATTTTTTTGTTTTTGGACCTTGTGGTCCTTTTATATGTGCCTTATATCTTCAGTTCTTTATTTAAGAAGTCTAGGCTCATGCTGTCCTCTCCCAATTATAGGTACACTTTCCTGTTGTTTTGTATTTACTTCCACTAAGGGTTACCCCCCTGTATTTAGTGTACCTTGGCTGTATTAGAATAAGTTTTCTATTTATCAAAATACACTTGGAATTAAATTATATATCTATGTATATATAAATAAATAAAAATAATGCGAAATATATATATATATATATACACACAAAACCAAGAGGGCTGCACTCACCTGAACATGCATACATTATAGGGTGCTTCTGGGGCCAAAATATACAAAATACAAAATCCAGCGCACTCGCTTAAAGCGGGTGCGCTGGATTTTGTATTTTATATACATATATATATATATATATATATATATATTCATATACATAATTACATGAATAATTTCATAAATATACACAGACTTCAAATATATAAATATGTATATATGTAAATTCTACGTGCAGATTTATGTAATATTTTTACATAATTAAGTAATTTTATTGATTGCAATTTCAGGGACCTGCCTGACAACCAAAGCCAGGCCCGGACTGGCCATCGGGCACACCGGGCAAATGCCCGGTGGGCCGCGGTGGCCATGGTCTATGCAGGGCCGGCACTATCCGAGCGCCGGCCCCGCTGTTTGCCATGGAGGGCCGGTGGGGAGATCAAAGCTCTCCCTCACCGGCCCATTTAAACAGACCTGCGGCTGGGGAGGGAGGGAGAGGACCCGGCGGAGCTCTATCTTGTGGCTCCGCCGGGTTCCTCTCGCAAGATCCGGCGCGTTGCCATGGCAACGCCCCGATCTCGCCAGAGTGAACTCTAGCCCTCAGGCTAGAGTTCACTTACCACTGGACCACCAGGGATGATGTGAGTGTGCCTGTCCCCCCCTCCCAGGCTAAAGGTAAGAGGGAGGGGGGATTTAATGCCTACTTAGTTTTTTGTATTTCTTTATTTACCCCCCTTAGTTTTTTTATTTGTTTATTTACCCCCCCAACACACATCACACTCTGCACTCTCACACACATCACACTCTGCACTCTCACACACATCTGTAATACTTATTTTAATTGGAACTCAACTGCAGAATTTTCTAATTGCAGTAACTATTAGTTTCACCTCCTGTTATACTGATGTGGAGGAGAGGTTACTGTAGCTTTAAATACTCAAGCAGGATGTTAATTGTGAGAAAAGAATAAGCCAATGAAGATCTGCACAAGCCAAATAGTTCCAATTTAGGAATAATGCAGAAAAATATGCAGAGTTAGTTTTAGCTTAATTAAGATGGAATAATTGCAAGCAAGATTATTAATGAGGAAAGACAGAATTGCAGCTAGGAATAATTTGATTATTGGAGGAAGAATTTAGCCTTAAAAGCAGTTTCTTATGTATAAGAGAGAATAACTTGAGAGAATGCCACAGTAATGAGCCTTCAGATACAGTCTATTATTAGTAACAGAGAGTAGCTTGATTGTAGAACCAATTACTTAACTTAAGAGGCAGTTCTGGAACTGAAGGGGTTAATTACATCCAATGGAAGTGGAGAGGTGTAGAAGTCCGTTTAACAAGCCGAGGTCAGGGAGTGGAGAAGGTAGAAGTCCGTTTAGCAAGCCGAGGTCAAGGAGTGGAGAAGGTAGAAGTCCTTTTTAGCAAGCCGAGGTCTAAGAGTGGAGAAGGTAGTAGCCGTCCCAGAACGTTACTCGATACAGGCAGGATCAAGGTAGAGCAGCTGATAAGTTTGCAGGGACCTGTGCAATAATCCAGCCCTTTGAATCTGGCGCGGTCCTCCTAAGTAGCGTGGAAGGACCGCGTCAGAAAAAAGGGGCGGGGCTAAGCTCAGTGAACCCGGAAGTGGGTTCATACGGCGAAATGCATGTCAGGCTATACCTGACAACATCATACACAGCACTCTCACACACATCATACACAGCACTCTCACACACATCACACTCTGCACTCTCACACACATCATACACAGCACCCTTACACACATCACACTCTGCACTCTCACACACATCATACACAGCACTCTCACACACATCATACAAAGCACTCTCACATACATCACACTCTGCACTCTCACACAAAACACACACAGCACTCTCACACACATCACACTCAGCACTCTCACACATAACACACACAGCACTCTCACACTCAGCACTCTCACACACAACAAACACAGCACTCTCACACACATACACAGCACTATCACACACAACACTCTCACACACAGCACTCAGCACTCTCACACATCACTCTCAAACACATAACACTCAGCACTCACACACATCATACACAGCACCCACACATACAGCACCCTCACACACACAGCACCCTCACACAGCACCCACACCTCACACACAGGATCCATCACACACACATACTGCACCCCTCACATACACACACAACCCCCCGATACACTGCATCACACACATACACAATACTTCCAAACATATTTATATAATATATATACACATATAAATATACGCACAGCACCCCTCACACACACACACAGCACCCCTCACACACACACACACACACAGCACCCCTTAACACATTTCATTCCAGACACACACTAGATATTCTACCCAACTCTGGATCATCTACACACATACACACACTAGATCCCTATATACACTCTGAATCCATTATATACGCACGCTCACTATACATATTCTGGGTCCTTCAAACACAAACACACACTCTGGATCCCCTATACGCACACTAGATTCCTTGTAAGCAAACACATACTACATTCCCTGAACACACACTCTCTACAAACACTACATCACCTATACACACACACACACTATAGCCTGTATACACACACTTGCTACATCCCTTATACACACATTCTCTAAAGCCCCTAGCCACATATGCATTACATTACACCACAAACACAACACGACTAAAACCGACCTTATTACACAATACCACACCACGACCAGCTCACTCTGCACACACGCAATACCCTAAGCAGGCTCCAAACACATGCACAATACTCTTTCCTGGCCCTTTTGTCTCCTGGTATCCATTTATAGAGACACCAGAGACAAGTTGCAAGGAAACACAGTGCAAGCATGTTATTAAATTTGCTTGCACTGCGCAGAACAAATACAGGGCTTTTTTCTCATGCTAGAGCTCTTCAGCAGAGCTCTGTGCATGGTCTGCCCTGGAAGAGCATTGAACCAACATGCTCACTTTGAGAGGGGGTGTGTTTGTCATGAGTGATGACAAAACACACCCTCTCTGCCCCGCCCCCTTCTTAGTGGGCCGCTGTAATATTTTTACTTTGAAATGTGCCACATTGGCTATGTTGCCTTTGAGAGTTTGGTAGTCCAGGAATGAGAATAACCCCATGATAGCATACCACATGTGTCATTTAACATGTAAACACAGCTTGACAAAGACCTTTTAGTAGGTCAAAACTTTGCTGCTCTTTTACTTTTTTGAACCAATAAATCTTCCTGCAGCTTGAACACCTTGAGTGACTGGAGACTTTCTTTTTTTCTGCCTGATTGTTGGGGGATTGCTGGTCCTGCTCCAGTGCACCTGGTATTTACTGGGATTGAGTGTGGCTCCTCTCTTCATTTTTATAACTCAAAATGTGAACATGACACATTTTCACTTAATCTTGTAACTTTTTTTGGAGCTAACGATAGACAGTGCTAAGTAAAGTATCTGCTGATACAATTATTCAATACATTACATCATGGCAAGGAACAAGTCAAAACCTGTAACCTTTTTCGGAGAATGGAAAAAGTATATAATCAGTAAAGGGGCAGCTGGACAGTGCCATTCATTCAAATCATTCACTCACACACTCAGGGCATCACAGATAGACTGGGCCAGATTAACACCCCAGCAGGCCTGGTGTTGACAATTATGATGGGGCCTAATTACAGAATCTTATTGACCAAAAACATTAAAACAGTCATACCTCCCAAGCGTCATGTATCTGATGGAGATGATGAAATTCAAAAGGATATAAGCTATAAGAAAACACATACTCTATGCTAATCTCTCTCTAATTTATGCTTTCATCTTTCAAGTAAATCCATACCCCCTAACAGCAATGTCCAGTGAAACAGGAAGTCAATGGGCGGGGTGGTGGACCACTGACGCAAATCACGTGACCAGAACTGCGAAAAGGGGAAAACATGCCCAAAAAAGGGGGCATGTCAGTCCAAAGAATTGGAAAGCCAGCCTGGCATCATTGTCCCTATGTATCACAGTGCCAGTGTTCCCATGCCGCCCAGTCCCCTGGTCTCCCAGTGTCTCAGTGTCCTCATTTCTCCCCGTGTCCCCATGTCTCAGTGTTTCCTGTGTCACTAGGATACTAGGGGACACAGTGAGACATGGGGACACTGAGAGACTTGGGGACACTGAGAGACATGGAGGCACTGAGACACTTGAGGACACTGGGAGACATGGGGGCACTTGTGGATACAGACCCCTAGTGTCTCACTGTCCGCATGTCTCCCTGATGCCTTTCCCCTCATCACTCACTTCCCTGAGCTGAAGGCTGTCTCTGCAGGCTGGGAGCTGCTGTCTGAGCTCTCTGTGCTGTGTAGCTGCTCCCCCACAGATCAGTGATTAGAGAGAGGCAGGGAGGGATATGCTGTAACTTCCTATCCCTGCCTCTCTCCACACACAGTGACCCCTACTGGCTTGTGCTGGTATTGCAGACTAATCTCCGTTTACAGTGAGAAAAATAACTGCATTTGTATTTCCGGTATTACTGCAATACCGGCACGGCCAGGCAGCCTCAAATACCGGGAATTTACTGTGCTGGTAAAATACCAGTCAGGTGGCAAACCTAAGAATAGTGTGTAAAAAAAAAAATTTTTTTTTTTTTTAAATGGGCCTATTCCATGAGCCTGTTCCTGGGCCTGGAGCTGCAGCTCCATCAGCCCCTATGTTAATCTGGCCCGGCAGATAGACACATCATGTAGCCATTACTTGCCTTATTTATATATGCAATATATATGCAGTGCCCTTTGGGTCTTCAGACACTGATTTTTTTGTGTGATATTTACAAGTTATCAGCTAGATTAATTTAATAAAACAGTTTCTAAAATATACTTGCAACATGATCTCTGATTCTCTTAAAAGCTATAAATGTTATAAAATAATATATAACACAATAAGCTAGAAATGACCGGGATACAGATGTTCTGTCGGTAAACATCAAAATCATACCTGAAGAGAGCCATAGTGACCAATATTGAAGGGTCAGAATCCGACAAGGACTAGCCATATGCACATTACATTAAACTTAAAGGAACACTATAGGGTCAGGAACAATACTATGTATTCCTGACCCTATAGTGCTAAACACACCATTAAGGTGGCTTGCCCCCCCCCTCAGCACCCTTTAAAGCAATTAAAACTCACCTTATTTTCAGCGCCGCACGTGTCCTCCGGTGCTAGCTCCTCCCCCTTGGCGACATCACCAGAATTGCCGATTTCTAGCCATTCCAATGCTTTTCTATGGGGAAATCATTGGATTGGCTAAAATCAGCAAGGGGTGGGGCCAGACACCATTTTGGCCAATCAGCACCTCCTCATAGAGATGCATTGAATCAATGCATCTCTATGAGGAAAATTCAGCATCCCCATGCAGAGCGTGGAGACGCTGAGAGGCAGTGCTGCCTACTGTGCAGCACTGAGCCAGGAAGCACCTCCAGTGGCCATTTGAGGAGTGGCCACTTGGAGGTGTCCCTAGGGGCAACATAAACACTGCATTTTCTCTCAAAAGGCAGTGTTTGCATGAAAATGCCTGAAGGCAATGATGTACAGTGTTTACATTAAGCTGTAGTTGTTTTGGTGACTATAGTGTCCCTTTAATGTGACAACCTCAAAATATTACAAATAACCAAATCATATTGGGAAATATGCAGGAACTCGTAATAACACATTAATATACAGTTGTGTGTATGTAAAAGGGGGCATAGGGACTATAGAAAGGGGAACAGGGGCTGTTCTATGTGAAAAATCAGAGTCCCCAGCCAAAGGCAGGCCCAATGATCATGCAAAGTCTTTGGTCGTCTTGCATGAACTGCACATTTGAGATCTCCCAGAGTGGCTCAATGATATTAAGGTCAGGAGACTGTGATGGCCACTCCAGAACTTTTACCTTTTTCTGCTGTAACCACTGGAGGGTCAACTTGGCCTTGTGCTTAGGGTCATTGTCATGCTGTACAGTCCAAGAACGTCCCATGCGCAGCCTTCATGCAGAAGAATGCAAATTGTCTGCCAGTATTTTCTGATAACATGCTGCATTCATTTTGCTATCAATTTTCACAAGATTCAACATGCCTTAAGAGGTCACACACACCCAAAACATCATTGAGACACCTCCATGCTTCACAGTGGGGATGGTATTCTTTTCACTATAGGCATTGTTGACCCTTCTCTAAACATAGCGCTTATGGTTGAGTCTATTTTGATCCCATCACGCAAAATTAGTGTGTCAGAAGCTGTGAGGCATATCAAGGTGTTGTGGGGCATATTGTAACCAGGATTTTTTGTGGCATTGGCATAGTAAAGGCTTCTTCCTGGCAACTTGACCATGCAGCTAATTTTTGTTCAAGTATTGTCATATTGTGCTCCTTGAAACAACCACACTGTCTTTTTCCAGAGCAGCCTGTATTTCTCCTGGGGTTACCTGTGGGTTTTTCTTTGTATCCTGAAAAATTCTTCTGGTAGGTGTGTGGCTGAAATCTTTCTTGGTCTACCTGACCGCGGAATTTTCCACTTCTTAATAAGTGATTGAATAATACTGAGTGGCATTTTCAAAGCTTTTATAAAGTTTCATTACCTTGTTTGACAGTTCTTTTCTGTTCCCCTTGGCTCAGTATCGAGCCTGCTCAGTGCATCCATGTAAGAGCTAACAAACTCATTGACTATTTATACACAGACACTAATTGCAATTTAAAAAGCCAAGCTTACTATATGTTTGGGGTGGAAAGAAACCCAGAATTGCACTTAAAATAATGACAACTAGGACAACAGAAGGGAGACTATCTTTTCCCACTATTTTTTTTTTACATGACACTGTCATGTTTTGCCATTTTTTTTAAATGGGGAAACAGAATCTCTAACACAAAACTTTGGTACATTAACCAGGTTTTCCATTCTATAGACCCAATAAAGAAGCTTTTATTTTCTTGTAATCAACTCTCTATACACACTCCTTTAAGGGCCCTGAAAGTGTTTATCCAAAATCTTAATTTAACTGGATGGATAGAGGCAGGATTAATATGAATAAAGGATATCTATTATGCCGATGAAATAAGCAAGTTTTCAGATTTACAATCAAGATCAGGTTTTGCTAATAAAGAATTTTTTACATATATGAGAATATTAGACTTTCTACATAAAGTTTTAATAATAAATGAATCACCCCTAGACAAGTTTCTACTTAGCGAACATGGAAAGATATCTTCTAAGATTAGGAAGGTCATATATTCTTTGAAACAGGATACAAAACCTAGATCTATCTATTACAGAATGGGAAAAACGTTCTATTTTCAGACTTGGACGAATTTCTTTAAAGCACTTAGAAAGTCTATTCATTGTGTGTATATATATATACACACACATACACACACAGGAGACTCTCCTTAAACTTACACATAGATGGTATATGGTTCCCACAAAGCTATGTAAATTTCAATGAAACACTTCCCGCTTGTGTTGGAGATGTTACTGGGATCCCAGTTCATTAAAACATATTGGGATTGAGTCCCCCCCGCCCTCCACAGGTGTCTCAGTTTCCTTTGCGCATTTAATGTTTGTGGCGGTACCGCTGCTGGTCCATGAATTGCCTGTCTGATATTATGTGTATTTCCACATTTTTTGTATGATATTATGTGTGTTTCGTGTCTTCTACCCGCTTCCCATTCGGGAGTGCTTCCACTAAGGGAATTTATTCGCCTCCCAAACGGGGACCACCCGGATACCCCATTTAGAATGTTGGCTTAGAACCTTCACACCTCGCAACATAGTGTCAAACCGCAAAGGAAACAATTAATGAGCACTCCTCCAGCTGGCTGCCATTCGTACAGACGAATGCTAGCCAGGGGCGTTCGTGGATTGTTTCCCAACTCGTTTGCTTCCCGAACGAGGGCCTCCCCAGTGCCCCATTAGAATGTTCACGCCAATCAATTAGAACGTTCGAACTCGCAACATAAGTGTGAAACCGCAAAGGAAGTAATTATGAGTGCTACCCTGGGTAGCCGCTATTTTGTAGAGCACCCAGGGGGAGCATTCGTATTCCGAAATGAGATGCTTCCCTTGCCTGGTTTCCACACAGGGACCCCGCGAACAGGGGCAGTTCATGACAGAGGCCTTGTTAGGGTCCCTGAGGTTGGTATGGACACTTTTGGGGCACTGGCGTGTTTGGCGGGCTTTGCGGTGCCCACTGGGCTAATTTCGCCTATGGCCATACCAGTCTGAAAGTGCCTGATCTTGTCAGATCTCAGAAGTCATGCAGACTTGGGCCTGCTTAGTACATTTATGGGAGACCAACTAGGAACTTCAGGTGCCGTATGCTTTTGTTTATTTCTTTTTTGCATTATGATGTCATAATCAGATCACTTTTTTTCTCCATCCAGAAGCTTCTTGTCTTTTGTCGCAACCAGTGTTTGATATTATACCAACATTAGCGAGATCCCTTTCTGCTAATTTCACCTAGGCCATACCAGTCTGAAAGTGCCTGATCTCGTCAGATCTCAGAAGTCATGCAGACTTGGGCCTGCTTAGTACTTGTATGGGAGACCAACTAGGAACCTCAGGTGCCATAAGCTTTTGTTTATTTCTTTTTTAGATTATGATGTCATAATCAGATCACTTTTTTCCCTAGTCAGAAGCGTCTTGTCTTTTGTCGCAACCAGTGTTTGATATTATACCAACATCAGCGAGATCACTTTCTGCTAATTTTGTCTACGGCCATACCAGTCTGAAAGTGCCTGATCTCGTCAGATCTCAGAAGTCATGCAGACTTGGGCCTGCTTAGTACTTGTATGGGAGACCAACTAGGAACCTCAGGTGCCGTAAGCTTTTGTTTATTTCTTTTTTAGATTATGATGTCATAATCAGATCACTTTTTTCCCTAGTCAGAAGCGTCTTGTCTTTTGTCGCAACCAGTGTTTGATATTATACCAACATCAGCGAGATCACTTTCTACTAATTTTGCCTACGGCCATACCAGTCTGAAAGTGCCTGATCTCGTCAGATCTCAGAAGTCATGCAGACTTGGGCTCTGATTAGTACTTGTATGGGAGACCAACTAGGAACCTCAGGTGCCGTAAGCTTTTGTTTATTTCTTTTTTAGATTATGATGTCATTAATCAGATCACTTTTTTCCCTAGTCAGAAGCGTCTTGTCTTTTGTTGCAACCAGTGTTTGATATTATACCAACATCAGCGAGATCACTTTCTGCTAATTTCGCCTATGGCCATACCAGTCTGAAAGTGCCTGATCTCGTCAGATCTCAGAAGTCATGCAGACTTAGGCCTGCTTAGTACTTGTATGGGAGACCAACTAGGAACCTCAGGTGCCGTAAGCTTTTGTTTATTTCTTTTTTAGATTATGATGTCATAATCAGATCACTTTTTTCCCTAGTCAGAAGCGTCTTGTCTTTTGTCGCAACCAGTGTTTGATATTATACCAACATCAGCGAGATCACTTTCTACTAATTTTGCCTACGGCCATACCAGTCTGAAAGTGTCAGATCTCAGAATTCATGCAGACTTGGGCCTGGTTAGTACTTGTATGGGAGACCAACTAGGAACCTCAGGTGCCGTAAGCTTTTGTTTATTTCTTTTTTGCATTACGATATCATAATCAGATCACTTTTTTCCCTAGTCAGAAGCGTCTTGTCTTTTGTTGCAACCAATGTTTGATATTCTACCAACATCAGCAAAATCGCATTCTACCAATTTCACCTACGGCCATACCAGTCTGAAAGTGCCTGATCTCGTCAGATCTCAGAAGTCATGCAGACTTGGGCCTGCTTAGTACTTGTATGGGAGACCAACTAGGAACCTCAGGTGCCGTAAGCTTTTGTTTATTTATTTTTTAGATTATGATGTCATAATCAGATCACTTTTTTCCCTAGTCAGAAGCGTCTTGTCTTTTGTCGCAACCAATGTTTGATATTCTACCAACATCAGCAAAATCGCATTTGCTTAACGTCACATGTGGCCATACCAGTCTGAAAGTGCCTGATCTCATCAGATCTCAGAAGCCATCCGTACTCGTTCCTGGTTAGTAGTTGTATGGGAGACAAACTAGGAACCTCAAGTGCCGTAAGTTTTTGTTTATTTCATTTTTGCATTATGATGTCATAATCAGATCACTTTTTTCCCTAGTCAGAGGCGTCTTGTCTTTTGTCGCAACCAATGTTTGATATTCTACCAACATCAGTAAAATCGCATTTGCTTAATTTCACTTATGGCCATACTAGTCTGAAAGTGCCAGATCTCAGAAGCCATCCATACTCGGGCCTGGTTAGTACTTGTATTGGAGACCAACTAGGAACCTCAGGTGCCGTAAGCTTTTGTTTATTTCTTTTTTGCATTATGATGTCATAATCAGAAAACTTTTTTCCCTATCCAGAAGCGTCTTGTCTTTTGTCGCAACCAGTGTTTGATATTCTACCAACATCAGCGGGATCGCATTATATTACTTTTGCATACAGCCATACCAGTCTGAAAGTGCCTGATCTCGTCAGATCTCAGAAGCCATCCATACTCGGGCCTGGTTAGTACTTGTATGGGACACCAACTAGGAAACTCAGGTTCCGTAAGCTTTTGTTTATTTCTTTTTTAGATTATGATGTCATAATCAGATCACTTTTTTCCCTAGTCAGAAGCGTCTTGTCTTTTGTTGCAACCAGTGTTTGATATTATACCAACATCAGCGAGATCACTTTCTGCTAATTTCGCCTACGGCCATACCAGTCTGAAAGTGCCTAATCTTGTCAGATCTCAGAAGTCATGCAGACTTGGGCCTGCTTAGTACTTGTATGGGAGACCAACTAGGAACCTCAGGTGCCGTAAGCTTTTGTTTATTTCTTTTTTAAATTATGATGTCATAATCAGATCACTTTTTTCCCTAGTCAGAAGCGTCTTGTCTTTTGTCGCAACCAGTGTTTGATATTATACCAACATCAGCGAGATCACTTTCTACTAATTTTGCCTACGGCCATACCAGTCTGAAAGTGTCAGATCTCAGAATTCATGCAGACTTGGGCCTGGTTAGTACTTGTATGGGAGACCAACTAGGAACCTCAGGTGCCGTAAGCTTTTGTTTATTTCTTTTTTGCATTACGATATCATAATCAGATCACTTTTTTCCCTAGTCAGAAGCGTCTTGTCTTTTGTTGCAACCAATGTTTGATATTCTACCAACATCAGCAAAATCGCATTCTACCAATTTCACCTACGGCCATACCAGTCTGAAAGTGCCTGATCTCGTCAGATCTCAGAAGTCATGCAGACTTGGGCCTGCTTAGTACTTGTATGGGAGACCAACTAGGAACCTCAGGTGCCGTAAGCTTTTGTTTATTTCTTTTTTGATTATGATGTCATAATCAGATCACTTTTTTCCCTAGTCAGAAGCGTCTTGTCTTTTGTCGCAACCAATGTTTGATATTCTACCAACATCAGCAAAATCGCATTTGCTTAACGTCACATGTGGCCATACCAGTCTGAAAGTGCCTGATCTCATCAGATCTCAGAAGCCATCCGTACTCGTTCCTGGTTAGTAGTTGTATGGGAGACAAACTAGGAACCTCAAGTGCCGTAAGTTTTTGTTTATTTCATTTTTGCATTATGATGTCATAATCAGATCACTTTTTTCCCTAGTCAGAGGCGTCTTGTCTTTTGTCGCAACCAATGTTTGATATTCTACCAACATCAGTAAAATCGCATTTGCTTAATTTCACTTATGGCCATACTAGTCTGAAAGTGCCAGATCTCAGAAGCCATCCATACTCGGGCCTGGTTAGTACTTGTATTGGAGACCAACTAGGAACCTCAGGTGCCGTAAGCTTTTGTTTATTTCTTTTTTGCATTATGATGTCATAATCAGAAAACTTTTTTCCCTATCCAGAAGCGTCTTGTCTTTTGTCTCAACCAGTGTTTGATATTCTACCAACATCAGCGGGATCGCATTATATTACTTTTGCATACAGCCATACCAGTCTGAAAGTGCCTGATCTCGTCAGATCTCAGAAGCCATCCATACTCGGGCCTGGTTAGTACTTGTATGGGACACCAACTAGGAAACTCAGGTTCCGTAAGCTTTTGTTTATTTCTTTTTTAGATTATGATGTCATAATCAGATCACTTTTTTCCCTAGTCAGAAGCGTCTTGTCTTTTGTTGCAACCAGTGTTTGATATTATACCAACATCAGCGAGATCACTTTCTGCTAATTTCGCCTACGGCCATACCAGTCTGAAAGTGCCTAATCTTGTCAGATCTCAGAAGTCATGCAGACTTGGGCCTGCTTAGTACTTGTATGGGAGACCAACTAGGAACCTCAGGTGCCGTAAGCTTTTGTTTATTTCTTTTTTAATTATGATGTCATAATCAGATCACTTTTTTCCCTAGTCAGAAGCGTCTTGTCTTTTGTCGCAACCAGTGTTTGATATTATACCAACATCAGCGAGATCACTTTCTACTAATTTTGCCTACGGCCATACCAGTCTGAAAGTGTCAGATCTCAGAATTCATGCAGACTTGGGCCTGGTTAGTACTTGTATGGGAGACCAACTAGGAACCTCAGGTGCCGTAAGCTTTTGTTTATTTCTTTTTTGCATTACGATATCATAATCAGATCACTTTTTTCCCTAGTCAGAAGCGTCTTGTCTTTTGTTGCAACCAATGTTTGATATTCTACCAACATCAGCAAAATCGCATTCTACCAATTTCACCTACGGCCATACCAGTCTGAAAGTGCCTGATCTCGTCAGATCTCAGAAGTCATGCAGACTTGGGCCTGCTTAGTACTTGTATGGGAGACCAACTAGGAACCTCAGGTGCCGTAAGCTTTTGTTTATTTCTTTTTTGCGTTATGATGTCATAATCAGATCACTTTTTTCCCTAGTCAGAAGCGTCTTGTCTTTTGTCGCAACCAATGTTTGATATTCTACCAACATCAGCAAAATCGCATTTGCTTAACGTCACATGTGGCCATACCAGTCTGAAAGTGCCTGATCTCATCAGATCTCAGAAGCCATCCGTACTCGTTCCTGGTTAGTAGTTGTATGGGAGACAAACTAGGAACCTCAAGTGCCGTAAGTTTTTGTTTATTTCATTTTTGCATTATGATGTCATAATCAGATCACTTTTTTCCCTAGTCAGAGGCGTCTTGTCTTTTGTCGCAACCAATGTTTGATATTCTACCAACATCAGTAAAATCGCATTTGCTTAATTTCACTTATGGCCATACTAGTCTGAAAGTGCCAGATCTCAGAAGCCATCCATACTCGGGCCTGGTTAGTACTTGTATTGGAGACCAACTAGGAACCTCAGGTGCCGTAAGCTTTTGTTTATTTCTTTTTTGCATTATGATGTCATAATCAGAAAACTTTTTTCCCTATCCAGAAGCGTCTTGTCTTTTGTCGCAACCAGTGTTTGATATTCTACCAACATCAGCGGGATCGCATTATATTACTTTTGCATACAGCCATACCAGTCTGAAAGTGCCTGATCTCGTCAGATCTCAGAAGCCATCCATACTCGGGCCTGGTTAGTACTTGTATGGGGCACCAACTAGGAAACTCAGGTTCCGTAAGCTTTTGTTTATTTCTTTTTTAGATTATGATGTCATAATCAGATCACTTTTTTCCCTATCCAGAAGCGTCTTGTCTTTTGTCTCAACCAGTGTTTGATATTCTACCATCATCAGCGAGATCACATTCACTTGCTTTTGCCTGCGGGCATACCAGTCTGAAAGTGCCTGATCTCGTCAGATATCAGAAGCAATGCAGACTCGGGCCTGGTTAGTACTTGTATGGGAGACCAACTATGAACCTCAGGTGCCGTAAGCTTTTGTTTGTTTCTTTTTTGCATTATGATGTCATAATCAGATCACTTTTTTCCCTATCCAGAATCGTCTTGTCTTTTGTCGCAACTAGTGTTTGATATTCTACCAACATCAGCGAGATCGCATTCTCTTAATTTCACCAACGGCCATACCAGTATGATAGTGCCAGATCTCAAAAGCCATCCAGACTCGGGCCTGATTAGTACTTGTAAATTTTCAGAATTTGTATTGAAAGTTAATATTTGTGTTTTATTCTTA